TGGTCATTAGCTCAGGTTGGGAAACGCTGTCCTGTGACCAGGCCTATGCTGCCAGTTGCCACCACTGACTCAATGCATGCTGCCAAATGCATGCCCTGGAGATCTGGTTCTGAATGGATAAACAACATTTCTTACTACGATTGCTAATGGGATACCAGCTCATGACAATGTAGACACTTTAATAATACAGAGTTCTTTTAATGAAGAAGCTTAACAAACTAAATTACTTCCCGACATTTGTATATGTCATATTTGCTCATTTATGCATGCAGTAAATGAAATGAACATTACCAAATAGTTAGAAAATAACAAGCATACACAAGAAATGCACTTGTATGAAAACAGAATTGGGCACTGCTTTGCTCAGCACACGCTGCCTCGCACTGCAGCCAGGCATTCCCTCCCCAGTGCTACACTGCACAAAGCGGTGACGCAATGGCAGAGCTGTCCCCACTCATGGCCAAGGGTTCTGCAGCTGCTGCAGTTGTGACAGCCCCAGTTGCTAAACGCCTGTAGCAAATGGTGCTTGCAGATAGAGGGCTGCAGCCCTCACTTGGATCCTGGCCAGGAACTTCTCAGTTCATGGCAATGGTGCTCTGCACCATGGTGCACCTCCACACCTCTGCTTGGTCTGCGTGTGCACCTGTAAGTATGTGGGATGTGTGGGCAATGCACCCCGCTGCCTCCTAATCCCATTGTGTCACTTGGTGTGTTTGGATGTAATTCCCCTTCTGGTTCTCTGCTCATGGGAATATTATGCCCAGCCCTTTGTCAGACAGGTGAGCTGTGTGGCTGTGTTTCTTCCCCTCCTAATGAGCCGACAGTGCACGGGAGAGATGGAAATAGCCCTGGCTGACACAGATACCTGTGCAAAGCAGTAGGGGCCTGCACTTGCCTTTGTAATTGCATGCTGCATGGCGATGAGTCAGCCAGCCCTGCGCGGCGGGCAGCATGCTGCGGGATGTCTGCAGCCCTCACCATGCCAAATCGGTATCCATTGGTCCGGGAAAGTGCTGCACCCCCCCAGAAAAAGTGCTCAAAACACAGTCAGGGCATGGAGAAGCTAGCAGGGAGAAGGATGACAGCAAGAACATCTTGCAGCTTTTTCAGCTCTCTAGACACTTCCAAGCGGCAGGAAGGAGCGTGAGCTGTAATTGTGCTGCATTCTCTCTGTTGCTATGTGCAGAACTGCTGCTTGCAGTGTTCAGGCCTGGCTGCAGGGCTCAGCCCCCAGCTGGCATTGCCCACGCCCTGGGACCAACCCAGAGGGATGCAGAGCCCCAGGGTGCCCTTATTGCAGCCACCGGCACAGGCAGCCCTGCAGACAGGGACGAGGCGGGGGACAGCGGGTGACATCAATGGGATATGACACATGCTATAAGCGCAGTGTGAGAGCTGGAGTGAGAGAGTAAGCAGGAGGGACACGGAGCATACGGCACAGCTCCCGTCGGGCCCTGCAGGCACACAGCCTCCCAGCCAGCGCTGCACGAGCTGCTTGTGGGAGGTGCACCATTGTGCCCAGCCCAGGCTGCATCGGGGCACAAAGCAGTGTGCAAGGATCAGCCTCTCTGTGATAGATTGCTTCTGGGACCCCACGGAGACACTGTCCCCAAACAAGACAGGCTGCCAGCCCTGCAGCATGCCGGTACCCAGCTCCAGTGTGTAGTGCAGGGACTGGGCGCACAACTGCCCTGTGCTGCTCCCTGCAGAGATGTGAGTCAGCAGCAGCACTGTGGGGAGATAGCGGGCATCCTGGGGTCCTCATAAAGCCCACGCAGCTGGCAGCAGCCCCATTGCTTAGGAGACCTCCCCGCCCTCCTCAGCTCCTTCCTCTGGGAAATTCCCATCTGTTTCAGCAGCTAATCCTCAAACCCCACGTGTCTCTCTCCACAGGTTTCCTCTGCAATAACAGCCTGACTTCAGCGTGTTCAGGGATGCAGCTTTGGAGAAGAGCAGGCTGCAAAAGCAAGCTGGACCAGCAGAGCCTATGCTGGAGCATCTCCATCCCTGCCTCTGCTGTGGGCTAAGAGCTGCAGCACGCCGAGCCCTGGGGCAGCTGTGGTGTCCATTCCACACGGGGGTTTGTGGCACAGTGCAGAATCACTTTGGTGGAAGAGCAATGGATCCCGAGGAGAGGAGCCCAGCAGAGATGCTCAGTGCCACATGGGGCCACCAGCACAGCTGGGAGCCCTGGGGACAGTTCCACGGTGCCTCATGTAAAGTATCATAGAATCATTAAGGCTGAAAAAAACACAACGATCATCTAGTCCGACCCTCAGCCCATCACCCACGCAGGTGACAAGGAGAACACGCCATTGAGCGGGGCTGGCGAGCTCCTGGGGAACCCCGTGCTGCAACCAGGAGGACCCCACTCACCGCCGCCTCCCACCCCGCGCTGCTCAGCCCTTACAACATCCCCCCATCCGCAAACACAGCGGCTGAAACCCGAGCACGAAGGCGGGCGCTGGCGCGGGGTGGCTCCGGCCCTGGCGCCGCTCATTGGCTCCGCTCCGCGTCCCGCGTTGGCCTTTGGCAGTCCGAGGGCGCTCAGCCCGCGTCCCCCCCTGACCGCTGCCCTAATGACACGGCTCGCCCTCCCGAAGGGCATGTGCAGGCTTCTTGTTATATTTTACCCAGGCTCTGTTATCCCCGGGGTGACGCTGGCGTGGGAGCGGGGTTGGAGTCAGCACGCTCAGCCCCACAGTGGGAATACTGTGGGTCTCCTCCTCTTGCAACGGTCTCAGCTGCCTGCCCCTCTTTGAGGAAGATCAGGAAATTTCTGGTGCCTGAGATTATGAGAGGTGGAGAGAGCAAAAACCAGCTTGTCAGGCACGGCTGGCCATATCACGGGACAGAAAGTGTCATTGCTTGGGGACGTTGGCTCCTTCGGGGCTGGGGCTGGAGGACTGCAGTTAGAGGAGGGCCTATCTGCCCTGGCAGAGGGCTGAGAGCTGCAAACTGTGGCCGACACCTCTTTAGTTACAAGAACCAGCGGGCCTTGAGCTCTGCCAGCCCTCCTGCTTGCAAAACTCAGGTTTTGATTTAGAGAGAAGTCACAAACAATTGATAGTGAAACTGCACCATGCTCTGCGTGCAGCCAGAGAAGGGAGCATGCACACAGCGAGCACTGCATCCTATTCACACCACTACGGGCAGGACATGCTCCATCCCCACCTGATCACTTCTGAGGAGGCAGAACAAAGCAATGAGACATCTTGTCCTCCTTCACCACCTCCCTGGGGCTCTCCGTTCTACAGGGGAAAAGCACCAACCAGCACAGAGAAGCGCTGGGGCTGTGTGAAAGCCCAGGGCAGGCAGGAGCAGAGGGAGCATCCAAGCACCGCCACGCAGCCATGTCAACAGCTGTACTTCGTCCCCCAGGATCCTGTCGGACCCCAGCCAGCAGCACGTCCTCTCTGTGAGGTGTCCCATTGTGCTCCACCTGCACTGTCCTCCACTCACCTCCTGGCACAAGGGCCTGTCCCCAGCTGGCCTTGCCCAGTCTTGCAGCCAAATGGAGCCCTGTGCAGAGGAGCAGTTGGGTGGTGTGGGCCGTGTTTGGCTTTGCTCTGCTCCTTGGGTGCTCACATACTCAGCTGGGAGAGGTGTTTCTGAAACTCAGAGCTATGGGAGCTGGAGTTTCGAGCCTTTTAAAAATGATTCTCATAGATGGTTACTTCCCATTTGAGTGCAACTCATATAAAGGAAATCACGAGATACATGAAGGAGAACCTCACTTGTCATTCAACAGATTCCGCTTGAAAGCCCACATTCAGCGGGAGGCCCTCCAGCCCTGCTTCTCCCCCAGCGAGGCAAACACCGCTGCTGGCAGCTCACCTCCCCCTGTACTGCGTGCAAAGAGGCACCAGGGCCACACTGCAGGACCCTGAGAGCACAGTCCTCCTCTGCAGGAAACCACTTATGTCCCAGAGCCATTTCCTGCCCTGGTCCCTCCTGCCATATGCAGTGGTCTGGGCTGCAGGAAGCACTCTGGGGCATGGAGCCCTTGGGGGAGGGAAGTTTTACTGCGGTGAGGCAGCGTGAAAAGTACCTTGGGTTGCAGTACTCCTTAACAGTAATCAGTACTAAAGCAGCACCGCACGGGGAAGAGCTTTGGCAGCTTCTCTCTCACTTCTTCCATCCCAGCAGCAGAACCCCATGTCCCAGCTCTCACCAACCTAGTGTTGCCTGTGATGCTGTTGGTGCAGAGCTCGGGGCACAGGGAAACCCAATGCTGCTGCTGCCGAAGGGTCTGCAAAGAGCCTTTGGAACAAGAGCAAGGAGACAATGCTGATGGGCAGCAAGGCTTGGCTGCTGGGGGAAGGAACCCTCAGCCATCAGAACACAGCAGCACATCCCTCCCCACCTCACGGCCTTGCCAAATCAGCAGCTGGACACACAGGTGTCCGGCACGGACCCTCTGCTGGGACTGGAAGCTGCAGCCCCATGAGCTGCAGGTGCTGCCACTCGGCTCATTGGGCAGCAACTAATTCAGGCTGCAGTAGGGAGCTCTGCTCCTTCCCGTGTAATTGCAACGGGTAAGCAAATAGAACATTCGTGAGATTTTCATCCCGTCATCAATTATTTCTAACAGGGCTTTTAGCGTGCATATGCCTCAAAACCTGAGACAGAAGACGATACACGTGACATCGAGATGCTCGCTGTAGGCACACTGCTGAGAGGAAGGCGGACCGAAGTCCTTCTGCCTCTCGCTTCTCCCCACTTTCAGTCTCCCGGAGCAGTTCTCCCGCCCGGACCCCCCCCCCCTGCGGCCCCGCTCTCCTGCAGCCCCCCGGGACGCGCCCCGCGGGCGGTGCAGCTCAGAAGCTCCCGGGGCAGCGCTGCCCCACGCGCGGCCGCGGCTCTGCGGGTCCCCCGGCGGGGCGGCGCGGTGCCGTCCTCCCCTCTCGCCGCCCCCCCCCGGCTCCCGCAGCCGGCGGGCGGGGGCTGCTGCCGGCTCCGCCCCGCCGGCCGCCCGGCTCCTCGCCGCCGCGCCTGCTGCATGCTCGGTGCCGCCTCAGCCCCAGCCGGAGGTGGAAGATGGCGGAGCCGGGGCCGGACTGCGGAACCCTGCTCGACGAGGCGCTCTCCTCCTTCGTCTTCAACTACCTCGCTGACAGCCAGGTGGGGAGGGCGGCGGTGCGGTGCGGGAGGAGCCGACGCGGAGCCCCGCGGAGCGGCGCGAGCCCCAAGGGGACCCCGCGGCTGCACCGCCGGCTGCGCGGGAGCGATTTTAGGGGAGGGGGTCTGCGGGGCAGCGCCGCACCGCGCCGCAGCGGCTCCGGCCCCCGCTTTCAGCACCACTCGCACGTGGACTCCCGGCCCCCCCCTCCCCGTGCGCGTGGGGCGAACGGAAAGCCGGCGCTGCAGCCCCTCCGGCCGCGGGAGAGGGGCAGCGGGGAACGCCGGGGGGGCTGCGGGGGGCTGCGCGGTGGGGGCGATAAGAGCCGGGCTGCGGGATGAGTCATGCCGAGCGTCAGTTGCACGCATACGGGCTGGGATCTGGGGGATGGAGGGGATGGGGAGGCTGGGAGAAGGGGCTTCGTGCTGCGAACCGGCTGCTCCAAAATCTGGATCGGCTCCCTCTTGCACGGAGCCGGGTATTAAAATCAGATTAAGGCTCCTTGGCAGCTCCCGCACAATCACGAGAGCGAGCTGTGCTCGCTATAGGGCTCGCATGCTTTTCCATTTTGGGGGGTGGAAGAGAGGCACTATACGATAATCCGGGCGGCAGCGAGAGCCGTGGCCGATCTGGAGCACCTCCGCGCATTTCACAGCCGGATTGCTGAGGCCGGTGCAAGTGGGAAGAGTTTTCTGTAGTTATATATCATCCCTCCAGCCCTTGACTTTCATAACTCCAGATTACAAAATAGCTTCGATTGTGAAGCGAGCGGATTCATCCCAACCCATGCTCTCTTACCAGTTTAGCTTTGGGATTGCACACAGCAGGAATATGTCGGTTGTGTGTGTGTGTGTGCGTGGGGGGAGAACGGTACACACGGGGACTAATCCTGCTGTTTGGGTTCCAAACAAACAAGCTCTCAGGACTTGGTAAATCAGATTTGCCCCTGGTGTGCGTGCCAGACTGAACCAGGCAGGTCTTGCCACCAGCTAGATGGATGTGGTCCCAGTGCCCGCCCCACATGCTCCTGCCTGGCACGGGACGCGGGTGCTTTGCTGGGGGCAGAGCAGCGGGTGGCAGCTCCGGCTCTTAACGAAGAGCTGATGACAGGCTGCTTACAGCAGAAGGGTCAGGGAGGGTGAGAAGTGGGCCGAGGAGGTTTTGTAAGCATTCACGTTCTCTAATTCGGATTGATTTATTATTGTTGGGGGGAATGCTTGGCTGAAGGAAGGAGGCAGGTTTGGGGGGTGTTGTCCCCCAAAGTGCTGCTGCGGTTCCCAGCAGCACAGCTGCTCTCGAGGCAGGTGAAAGTTCCTGGCTCTGCTTCCCAGCAGTGCGCTGTGTGCTCTCAGTGGCTTTAGCTCTGAGCACAGAGCTCGTGTGATTGCAGCATGCGTCTGAAGGGCTGCTCCGTTTTGCTTTTCTGGTCAGCGTTTGACGTCTCAATCTAGGAATCTTTTTTTTTCCCAAAAAGGGACTGTTAAGGGAAAAAAGAAATCCTGACGGTTGTCCTCCTTCTCTGGTGCGAAACCACCATGTTGTGAGCATCCCCTGCAGAATTTGGGACCGTGAAATGGCCTGTGATGAAATAAGACCATTTTTATGGCATCTCGTGAAATAAGACTGCTGCGCTTGTGCCCTCTTTTTCCCTCCCTCTCTATGTGCATCGTGATGCTGGAGGGAGCGCTGTGCGTGCACATGGGGTCAGTGCTGATCTGACGTCTGCCAGCCATATAATGTTACGGGCAGCAGACTGATCCGCACCGACTGCCGCAGGTCTGGGCAGCGACGTGCAGCCCGCGGTGGAACAGACATTGCTTTTTCCCTTTGTCCCCTAAGTGCCTAGAAGGGTTAAAGCCTGGTGTGAAAACAGAAGGAAAGAGAGGGAAGAAAAAAAAATAAAGGCCCCCCCCGGGGATGATTTGTATACATTTGCTTAAGGAAGGACTAAGTTGTAAGCGTGTGCTGTTCGTGTACCTTCACCTCTGATGAAACTGCAGAGGCAGCTCCTGCTGCTGTCACATGCTTTCTCCAGAGCTGGAGCTGGAGGCGGGCCCCGCGCTCGCCGCTGACGTCCCTCCCCACTACTACTGTACAGCCCTGCTTACAACTGGGTGCTGGCTGCTCATTGAAGCCCGAAAGCTGTTTCTGCACAGTCCCTGGTGCTTCAGCATGGAATCAGATTATCTTAAGTGGCGACGATGTCAGGAGGCCATGAGATCATGAATATTACCCGTTTCCTCCGTGGAAATCTTGAGGAACTCTGACACTTCCCCCACTGCCTCTCCCCACTCCCTCCTTCACAGTGGGATTCGGGTGAGGAGTGGCTCAGTGTTGGTGATCAGTGCTCTGTGACAGAGGAACCCTGGGGAGGGCTCTCAGGAGATGCACAGTGAAGGTTTAACGTGGGTATTTGCATCCATCCCTTCATTATATGGGCTTGCACTGAGGTTGCCTGCAAACCTCTATTTACATATTGAGAACAGCGATGATTCACCTGCAGCCTGCATTGCTACAGAGAAAAAATCAGGGTTTCTCACTCCATACGTGCCTTTCTCCTGCTGTCCCCTTTCCTTTCTAACAACAACAACAAAGTGATTTTGTTCTGCAGTAACTCAGAATGGGCCCATTTGATCCATTTTGTGCAACCCTGCTGCAGCAGGCAATGGAAGGTGGCAGCAGGTGCTGCAAAGTGGCATCGTTGTGGCTCTGCAGGGAGCATGGGCCTCAGCATTCCTGCAAGAAGCAGGAGCTTTGCGCTTCAGTGGCTTCAATTTGTTTAAACCCCCCCCAATGAAGTTGCAGCAGGGAAAAATGGTAAGAACAGGCTGCTGCTGGGAGGGATGCTCAAAGATCATATGAGCTGCAATGCTATATTTGCTCCTTAACTTCTCAGCCTCCCACTAACAGCTTAATCCATTGATGAGTGCAGGGAGAGCACCGAAGCCCTCGGCTGAGCATCAGGTGGATCAGTATTGGTAGTAATGAAATGAATGTGTGTCCCTAATTTCTGACAGTCCTCGCTGAGCAGGCCGATCTTGTGCTTTGTGTGTGTGTTGAACTCTGGGTGGTGGATGCAGCCCTGGGGTCTGGCAAAGCCATCCTTGCAGCTCAGGTCGTGCAGCCCATGCTGGTGATGCTCTCACCTTGCTGGGTGCTGCTGGGCTTTGGTGAAAACGTGTGTGGAAGAGGCCATCAGCAGTGGTTTGCAAGGCAGGATGCCCACAGCTGTGTGCATTGCAGCTTCAGATATGGAGGAGATGGAGAGTGCAGCAGGAGCGGGAAGAGGAGGGCTGGCCGTCAGGAAGGCTGTGTTCAGCCTGACTGCTCTCAGCCCTGGCTTTGGGCCCCAGCAGGACCCTGCCCTCCATCTTCCTGCACATCCCTCCCTGCTCCCATGCTGTAATGGAAAGGCACCTCTCCAACAGGTGAATAATTAAGGTCTTAACCTCGTGCCTCTAGCAAAGGGAGCTTTGTGAAAGAGACTGATTTCTCTCCCACATTAACCTTTCCAATGTCAAAAGCCTCTTTGTAGTTAGAAACTCTGCTTGCTCCCACACTTAAATGCTGTCAGTTGAGAATGAAAAATGTCCTGGGGCCACAGGATGCCCTTCCTTCCCCAAGACCCCCTCTTTGCTGTGCGCAAGGCCAGGGACATGGGCACCTGTGAGGCTGTGCCACTTGGGGCTTTCCTTGTGGTGGGGCAAGGAGCCTGCATTTCTCAGAGGAATCCGCTTCGGCCCCCGCTTCACGGCTGAGCCCCGCTCCATGGCAACCCCGTGCAGGCTTTCATTTCTCGTGATGGTTTGGCAGAACGGAAGCGATTTAGCAGAGGAGGAATTTTGCACGCTGCCTGCATGGAGAGATGGGCTGGGGCATCCCTTACCTGCACCCCAAGAGTGGGCGAATGCAGGCAAGGGGATACCCTGCTGCTTGCACCATGTGCAAGGGGATGCAGGTGCTGGTCGTGGTTGTCACGAGCCAAAGACTAAAGGTTGAAGTTAATGGCGCAGATGGTCAGGTGGGGTGAGCTGACCTACTTTGGAGGCGGCCATGCTGCTGTGCCACCCAGGTAATGGTCTGGCCAATGCGTTCTCCTTCACTTATCACTCAGCAGTTCTGCTCTTCAGCACTTTTCCTGAGTTCCGGCCACGGAATCACACTTATTATTATTTATTTATTGGCTTTTTTATATATATACGTGTAATGGGAGCTTCCAAGAAACGCCACGGACTTTGCATGGATCTGGCAGTGCTTGCAATGCCAGCAGAGCTGTCCTCATGTGGCTCCGCGACAAAGGCAGCACGCAGCTCTGAGCTGCAGATTGTTGCATTGAACGTGATCATGGCAGAAATAAGACAAGGAAAAATAAAAGCTAGACAGCTCTGTTTTGGCCATATAAGAGCTGAAAAGCCCCAGTGGTTCCCAATGCAGTGTCTTGTGTATTGGCTGGTGGGGGTGCGAGACTAGTGCAGCTCAGTGGCTGTATGCAAAGCCCCCATCCAGTAGCCAGACTTAACCTTTGATCACTCCTGGCTCCTGGGCAGATGTCTGAGGCTTAGGGAAAATGCTTTGCTTATCTCACTTCCCCGCTGTCCTTAGACAAAGCCGCAGGCGCTGGGTGCTGGGCACCTCCCCAGTGCCCCGTACCTGGACAGAACAGCTCTGCAGGTAGGATGCTGCTGTGCACAGCGTGCCGTGGGAGTGCTACAGAGACCTTGCTGAAGCGGCACAGAGCTTCCTACATCCCCTCCTTCTGCAGCTGGTCAGCTGGTGAGGGGCCGCTTCCCCTCCTGCAGGAACCAGAGGGCAGTCCCTGGGCTGAGGGCTGCGGTGGGAAAGATACCGGTGGCCTCGAGGGCTGATGTGACACTTCTGTGTTCCCCTGGCACGCAGTGGCACATGCTTGACAGGGATGTTTTTGTGCTGAGGTGGCTGAGGATGAAATGAGTGCCTGGAGCTCTTGCAGCGAATACGATTGCAGAGCAGCGGTATCTTTACT